TGTGTGCGTGTGCGTGTGCGTGTGTGTGCGTGTGCGTGTGAGTGATAAAGGAGACGTCATATAATATCAGGTTCGTGACCCTTTGGGTCCGCATGAAGTGAAATAACAAAATACCCAATTTATCTGTTGTTATTCGAAATTCTCGGGAAATGCATGACTAATCCACTAAACTATATATATATATATATCAGAAGTAGATAATACGGAACCTATTATCTACTTCTGATATATATATATATTCGCTATCTCTATTCATTTCTATCGGTATTCTAAATTGCTAATTCTGCTTAGTCCATGTACTACTGCGATACTGTACCGTTATGCCATTCGCCGCTCGCGCAAATATGGTGCCTTAATTCATATGTTCACATTATCGTAACCTCTGTTCTTCTAATTACCTTCCGCATTTTTAATTGGTGGATAGTAAAGAGTTCTCAGTGTTGTTTGATTGGGTCCACATCCAATGTATTGGTGATTCTTCTCGAAAAATGTCAAGTCCTGCAAAGGAAATGATATGTAAAATATCTAACCATTGTGGGTTAGGGGCCCTACACACCGCCACAATATAAAAATGGCTAAAACAAATGTAGGGTTTATTTCGTTTAGGGGAGAATTGAGGGAAATAGTACAACATCCAAACATTCCTTACCAATGTCTCATATATGACTGCTAACTATTGACTAAGGCTTGCGATTTTACGATTCCATTTTGTTATCAATTTTATGCTCTCTTGAAATACTTATCATCAATGGAATTTAATTATCAAATATACTTAAATACGTTTCATTGGACCAATCGCGATCACCTCAAGTTTCAGTGCCATGGCTAATGCATAAAGGACTCTCATGCTGAGCTTCTTGCAATTATCGTAGAGTGCCATGATTGTTTCTCTAAACTCTGGTAGATCGTCATCCGGCATAATCTAGATATAGTGAACGTCATGAATGTATATATTAGCTTTGTCAACGGACACAAGAAAATAACTTGAGAACGAAAGAAAGAAAATTTGTGTGTATAGGACCTTTTTTCGCAGAAAGAGTCGTAATTACTCGACTGCTAAAAGGACACAAATTTAACAGTAATCAATTCGAACATGCTGTATTAATTGCTGCTATTAATTGAACGGTAAAATTAAGGTTGCCTTACCATTGCACTCCGCTCGCATGGTGTTATATTATACGCTTCTCTCAAGTCAGATGGACGATCCTTATTGAAGCTATAGTTGAATTTGAATAAACATTTAATATGCACAAAACAAATGAATAATTGTAATCTTCAAACGCTGATTTACGTATAACATGATGAATGGTCTTATAAATAATTACCAGCATTGTGTTTAGTATATTATATAGCACAACCGATATTTGAAGCAATGTGTTGTTGTTGTTTTTTTAATTTTTGGTTTTAGTTATCCACAAATATTAAACTATAGGATAATTTGAGACATTCCTAGCTTTACACCACTACCACACTATCAGTATACTAATACCGAATGAATTATGATTCTCCAGTATATTTTTAGTTCATAACAAAATCAACACAAACATAGTTAAATTAATATTATTTTAATGTTCATAAAGTTATCATTTATTTATATAATAAATAATAAATTAACTCGTTTCCTCTAACGTACGTGCAAATCTCTGAAATCTCTCAAGTGCTCGATCTCTGAAAACAACGTGCCAAATTAACCTTTCAAGGCCAATGCATACGTAGCCAGAATTTCCATCATCTGGTCGCTTAACCTTCCTCTTCACTGATTCAGGAAGAGTAAAAAATCTTCTTGAAACGTCCAAGGCCATCGTTATCTAAGAAAAAAGAAAATTTAACAATTTTATATGCATATATATGGACTATATATTCCTACGATTTGGTTAATCCTAGAGATTAGCTAATGGGAAAGATATTTATGAAAAATAACCAACTATAAAGCTCCTTATATAGTGCAATATACCGACAGTACCTATAGTAAATAATAAATTCTATGTGTGCATAACTTCTTTAGTTACATAAAACAACAGCACCATACCAAACCCACATCATGATGCAGTCCATGCTTGTTGACCTCTAGTATTATATTTACTTTTATGTTTTATTAATACCCCCATCATACCCCCATCACACCATGGCCCCGATCTCACTACGCTCGTACAACGCTTCCTGTTCCAGACGGGGAGCCGTTAGGCTTCGCGTCCGGACATCTATCTCACACAGTGATCTTGCGACACGCACACGGGTGATGATTGCGCAACGGGGCGCTCTGCTGATTGCCGAGTGTGTGCGTGTGTGTGTGTGTGTGTGTGTGTGTGTGTGTGTGTGTGTGTGTGTGAGAGAGAGAGAGGAGGAGGGAGTAGTGTAGTAGTGTGTATGTAGTGTGAGAGAGAGAGAGAGTATATATATATATATATATATATATATATGTGCGTGTGTGTGTGAGAGCGAGAGAGCGGGAGAGGACAGATGAAAAGATAGACGGCAGCAGTGCATATATTGTATATTTTCGGCAATCAGCAGAGCGTTCCGTGGCGCAATCATGCGTGTACGCGAGTCGCGCGATCACTGTGTGAGTGGATGTCCGGATGCGTAGCCTGGAGGCTAGGCGACCGGTTCCGGACGCGTAGCCACTGCGTATTTATTGTTATAGAAAGCTCCACACTAGCAGTACAATTATACACATCACAAGTAAAATATGCTAATAGTACTATAGGGGCCTATATAAGTTGCTTAGTGCAATATTAGTGCACATGCAGCATGCCTGGCCTATATATATATATATATATATATATTGTAGTCGTTGGTATGCAGTACCTCTTCAGGCGGTATTCCATAATTCTTCAGGTAGACAAAGCCGACTGTTGTAAACGCCGTACGTAGCTCTTCTACGATGTTTTGCACCTGATTAGGATCCGCTTGTGATACGTCTTCAATCTGTAAACCTAGTCCCGAGAAATCAACGTACGAAATGTTGCTGTTCGACGACGCCATGTCAGTATAAAAGTGACGTAGCCACAATACCACAAATCCTACGGCGGAAAGCAATCGTGGACTATGGTCTGGCAAAGCATGACGCAGCTATACAGTGTGGTACACTGCGATCAGCCCTTCGACGAACAGGTTTTGGAGATTGTAAATATAACTACCTGGAGACTACAGTTCCTGTCCAGTTCAGTCGTACTACAGTAGGGAGGTGTAGCTGATAACAGCGTACGTGGCCAAACAACGTGCTGTAACACAGTGGCCTTGCTCACACGTGAATAATTAATGATAGCAATTGTGTACATGAACCCATATAAAGCAGAAAAATCATATTACGGATTTATATGCTTGTAATGCTGCAAATAAGTTGGTTAAACCAAAGAGCCTATATTGATAAATTCTTAGCGCTGTAGCGTTGATGCTGATACAAATACGAACTTATTTCAAGTTTTTGTTGTATAGAAACTATGGACGGACATTGTACACATCGTTTTGAATTTGCCGCGCGCTATTTTCTCCCGAGACATGCCGCAGATCGTTCCGCTGTTTGCGTCAATCTGTTAGGGCGTCCAACATATTCGGCATACAACAGTAATTATCCTCTAATTGCACTCCTCAAATTGCCCTATTTCGTCTCTAGAAAAGGCCTTTTTTGATTTTTTTCGCTGAAATTCGGCACTAGCGTGCACTAATTTGCATTATTCACGCAAGGTAGATGCCTCGTGGACGTCTAGAAAGCATTAGCAGTAAGATTGGTCTTGTCGTGTAATTGTGCCATTCCAGCAAGTGGCGTTGCGATGGTGACCGGTCGGCCATTTTTGTGTTTGAAACGGGATCCGACTACTCTGTAGAAATACGCATCATAGAGCTGGCAAAAGTTTCGAGCGGAATATAGAGCTTGAATCTGTGGTTATTTGGCATGAATAAAATGTATGTTGTGTATGTATGCGACAAAACACTCTGAATATTTGTTTAATAAATTTCCGTTTGAATTGCTGCCTATATAGATCTACAACGCCCTAACAGATTGACGCAAACAGCGGAACGTTCTGCGGCATGTCTCGGGAGAAAAATAGCGCGCGGCAAATTCATAAAGGTGTTTACAACGTCCGTCCATAGTGTCTAAAGAAAAAGCTTGATATAACACCCCCCCCCCGAGCAATTTCTCTATCTCTACCCGTCACGTATGTGCAAATATATAAACGCATAACTTTATGTTTGTCGGCACGATTTACCTGAGACTATAGCGTAGTTAATAAAACGATGACCGTACATGTTCGTAATTGTATCAGCATCAACGCTACAGCTCTAACAGTTCAACCAACGTATTTGCAGCATTACGAGCACATAAATCCGTAATATTATTTTTAGGTTATAATATTATATAGGTTCACGTGCACTTGCTATAATAAATCATTCACATGCGAGCAAGGGTTCATGGTTGGCCACGCTGTAATTATCATATACACCTCGTTTGAAGTATGACTTAACTGGTCATGAACTATAGTGTCCAGGCAGTTATTTACAATCTACGAAGACCTTTCGTCGAGGGGTTGCGAAAGCGTATGGGGTAATGACATAATGGCGTATGAGCGTAAGGGGGGCTTAATGGGCGTGAGGGGGGCTTATGTCGGGCTTGCGAGCCGACTCGATTGGAAGCAACTGGCTGCAATTCACTGCGACTGCAGTGCTTAGGTCGGTCGACTGCGACGCGACTGCCTGCGACTGGCCGCCATTAGTTGCTCGGAATAGAACAGTGGGCAACTGGACGCAACTAGTCGCTGCCGATCGCTTCCAGTTGCTCAAAATCCAGTTGCTTCCAGTCGAGTCGAGTCCAGTTGCTCTGACAAACGAATTTACCGCAGTGTTTATAAGCGATGCGTGGTGGCAGCACTGCATAGTATGGTAATGCTGCATTTGCGAACGCCAGCCAGTAGATCTTCATGATCATGTTTCGCATGCCATTTTCATAATTACCTCCGCCAAGGGGTTGGCAGGAGGTTATGTTTTCACCGGCGTGCGTTTGTGGGTTTCTTTGTGTAGAGCCTAACTGAAAAAGTTATGGACGCGGATTGTCATAAAATTTACAGGATAGGTCTAAAATAGGCTAACTTAGAACTGATTAGATTTGGGTGGTGATCCGGATCCAATTAATTAATTAATTATATTTTCAGAATAGGTCAGAAATGGGGTAACTTAGCATTGATTACATTTTGGTGGTGATCCGGTGTAGCGCGAAATTTCTGACTTGCGAAATATCTGAGATAGAATGCCTATGCGCATGCGCACTTCGCATATATGCTCAAATATGGCGATTTCCACTTCAGCTAAGACACCAGCTGGTGCAGAAGGAGGAGGGGGAGAAGCTGATGGAGAAGGAGGAAGGGAAGAAGGAGGAGGGGGAGAAGCTGGTAGAGAATGAGGAAGGGGAGAAGGGAGAAGTTGGTGGAGAAGAAGGAAGGGGAGAAGGGAGAAGGTAGTGGAGGAGGAGAAGGGGAGAAGCTGGTGGAGAAGGAGGAAGGGGAGAAGGAGGGGGAGAATGAGGAAAGAGAGAAGGGAGAAGCTGGTGGAGAAGGAAGAATCTGCCAACCCAGCCCCCCTTGTACATCAATGAAATGCCGCCGCAGCATGCTTCTCCTTTCTCCCCTTCCTCCTTCTCCACCATGCAGCTTCTCCGTTCTCCCCTTCCTCCTTCTCCACCAGCTTCCCCCCCTCCTCATTCTCCACCACCTTCTCCCCCTCCTCCTTCTCCACTAGCTTCTCCCTTCTCCCCCTAGAGAGAGAGAGAGAGGGGGAGAATGTGTATGTGTGTGTATGCGTGAGAGAGAGAGAGAGATATATATATATATATATATATATATATATATATATATATGTGCGTGTGTGTGTGAGAGCGAGAGAGCGGAGAGGACAGATGAAAAGATAGACGGCAGCAGTGCATATATTGTATATTTTCGGCAATCAGCAGAGCGTTCCGTGGCGCAATCATGCGTGTACGCGAGTCGCGCGATCACTGTGTGAGTGGATGTCCGGATGCGTAGCCTGGAGGCTAGGCGACCGTTCGGACGCGTAGCCACTGCGTATTTATTGTTATAGATAGCTCCACACTAGCAGTACAATTTATACACATCACAAGTAAAAATGCTAATAGTACTATAGGGCCTATATAAGTTGCTTAGTGCAATATTAGTGCACATGCAGCATGCCTGGCCTATATATATATATATATATATATATATATATATATATATATTGTAGTCGTTGGTATGCAGTCTCTTCAGGCGGTATTCCGATAATTCTTCAGGTAGACAAAGCCGACTGTTGTAAACGCGTACGTAGCTCTTCTACGATGTTTTGCACCTGATTAGGATCCGCTTGTGATACGTCTTCAATCTGTAAACCTAGTCCCGAGAAATCAACGTACGAAATGTTGCTGTTCGACGACGCCATGTCAGTATAAAAGTGACGTAGCACAATACCACAAATCCTACGGGGAAAGCAATCGTGGACTATGGTCTGGCAAAGCATGACGCAGCTATACAGTGTGGTAACTGCGATCAGCCTTCGACGAACAGGTTTTGGAGATTGTAAATATAACTACCTGGAGACTACAGTTCCTGTCCAGTTCAGTCGTACTACAGTAGGGAGGTGTAGCTGATAAGCAGCGTACGTGGCCAAACAACGTGCTGTAACACAGTGGCCTTGCTCACACGTGAACGTGTGTGTGTGTGTGTGTGTGTGTGTGTGTGTGTGTGTGTGTGTGTGTGTGTGTGTGTGTGTGTGTGTGTGTGTGAGTGCGCGCGTGCGTGCGTGCGTGTATGCGTGCGTGCGTGCGTGCGTGTGGTATCTGTGTGTATGTATATATGTATATATTATAACGAGCATATAATTAAGGTATCTATATATTTCGTATATATCGTATAGAACACTCCTGTTGACTAACTAGTGATGATGACTTTACCTTTTAATGGTGATCAGCATTAAACACATCCATAGCGATTGGATAGAAGAACGAACAGAAGCACTCATCTTACAGGGTTTTCACAATGAAGGATTGTCAAGAAAATGAAAACACTGTCCTTTCATGCATGCACTCTTGCTGACGTCGTGTGCCACTATTTCAGCGGATTTCTCCGCAAGATTGCCGGTCACTCGGATGTTAGTAGATATTGAGCGCCGCTCGCTCTACGTTTCCGCTTGGTTTTGAGTGCATGCGTGCGTTTACACTGGTTCCATAGCTGTCCCGATTCGCTGCGACTCGTCGAACCATATAGGCCTACGCTAGCAACAATTGTTATAAGATATTATATCCGCATCATGGACTTTTGTCTATTTGATCAACTTTTGTCTCTTCCCGTCTTTGCTATAGTCCCTTAGACTTCAAGGACTATTTACGAGGTTACGAGGATGAATTAATTAACATAGACGAACTAGAAGGAAAGCCCTCCGTTTCCGACGCGGCACAAGCAAAATGCTGTGAGGTCGTGCTGCGTTTAACGCATTTGTTATGGGACGTGCGACTCACTGTTGTGGGACGTGTTATCTTCGCACGACCGCGGGTATTTTAATGCAGAGTACGGCACTACATGAAGCGCGGCAACTCTTCTGATGTAGCCGACATATTCTCGTTTTGTCCACAAGGGCTCAAGGCATGGGTTCGACTAAAACGGATTCGTTGTTAACAAGAACTTTACATTCGAAACATGATCGCGACGATCAACGATTTAATTAAATCAACGCGAATAAAGGCCGTAGACATGATGGCTAGGGGTGTACGAACACAGGAAATGGCAAAACCGTTCTGTAAGTATTTCGCTAGTTACTTGAACACGCGCGCGACCTGCGTAGTGATTAATAACGTCCACTAAGCGTTAGCAAGTACCGGCCACTTTGCGGCTCCCTGACGGTCCAGGGAACTTCAAACCCGTCGTCGCTCCTTAAAATTCTCATTGACCTTGACGTCAGTCATGATTTTCTTTAAGATAAGTATACGCCCACGACTTATTGCGTTGCATGTTATTTACGTATACTATGGCGGGCAGGCGGGCGATTGGTGGTCGGGCGGACGGACGGACGGACGGACGGCCGGTCGGACAGACAGACAGACAGACGGCCTTATTATTATCAGGAGTGAATGATAATAGATTATTATTATCTCTTATAGATCTATTGTTATTCACTCCTGTTATTATCAAAGTAATGCATTAAATTGACATCGACAATTTTCATATCTAACTACTCATGGGTCGGTCTGCGCGTGTAAATTTCAACGTACAATTTCAAGACAATGATTTTTGTAATATTTAAGATATTTGCGCAAACAGATCTGTCCCTGTTATCGATGCAAGGACATATATAAATTATGGCGATTTGGCACGCTTGTAATTATTAAACTGAGTCATTAGGATCGGCATTTTTATTTGAAACTGCGCATGATTATATGTGCTCTCGCCTCTAAATAATATATCTATATCATGATATATACATATGTATAATTAATTAATTAATTAAATTAATAAAAATGTTCATCATTGCAATATTGCTTGTAGGTGTTAACAAATGCTGCAATGCCATTCGATAAGAAACGCAAACCAGGTACATTTTATCATGAGTTTCGCCAATTCTAACTGAAACTGAAACCAGCACCAGCAAACGTAGAACTGCAATGTGAAACCAGGTCAATGTATGAGCCCTATGTCGCTCATACAATGACATCATCACTGTTCTTGGCGGAGGTCTGCGCTCTCCGAGTGCTCTAGTTACTTATGTGTGCGTTCTCTACCGTACGGTCACAAAGCCCGATAGATCGCTGTTACGAATGCTAACTCAATGACTGATTGTTTGGGCGTTAAAATAGGATATAAAACGTGATATAAAACGCGCACTCGAGTGATTAGAATTTGTTTTCTCTCGAACACGCAGTGACTTTTAAAAGTCGGAGAAACGTTTTTCTTATAGCAGGGCGATGATTAGAAGTAACACAATACACTCGAATTCACATAACAGAAAACTACACAATACATGTTATATATATACATGTTGATGGGTTTATAGTATCCATAATCCAGCATCACAATCCGTAACAACCGTCAAAAACTTGCATAGGGCACAGAATGTATGTAATAAGTAAGATGCTACAGCTGTGCTCTTGATTACACTTGGTTAATCATAAGAATTCCCATAATTATTGCGCCTTCGTCGATGATGTTATCGAAGCTATCTTACACCAAATGTCCCGAATCAATTTGATTTGAATATGTTGAACTACGCGAGATAAAATACAGTGTACAATAGAGGCCATTATCTGTCTCTCTCTCCCTCTCTCTCTCTCTCTCTCTCTCTCTCTCTCACACACACACTATTTCTCTTTCTCTCTCTCTCTTTCTCTCTCTCTCTCTCTCTCTATATATATATATATATGTGTGGTATAATATATATAATCTAACACTTGGGAATAGGTAGGATAAAACACTTATAAATAAATTGTTCTGTAGATTAGCAGTATTTTACCTAGTAGACAATTATCAACATCATTGCTATTAATACGAGAGAATACGTGTCACGTGCAGTCACCTGCCTACACATGATGGTCTAATATATATATATATATATATATATATATATATATATATATAACCGATTAAACTACATGTAGCTACATACGCAATCACACAATAATACATAAGACCACCCGTATGTCGATATAGTACTACTAGTCGATATGATATCTGTGATCAGTTGTGCGCGGTTTTTTTCTACAATACATGCCTGTGCTTACTTTTAATTAATAATACATGGTAAACGACGTTCAAATATTATTAATTTTATGGACAGCCATGTACGATAAATTACTGTTAATCAGATACATTGTTCCTTTCACAGGGATTTCAACGTAACTATCTGTGATTGGAAATGCTATCACAGCTAATTTACATATTTAATTACGCTTTCTCGACGATATTTTACTCTATATCTTTATTCTGCATATTTATGTGCGTGCGTGCGTGTGTGCATGCTTGTATGCGTGGCGTGCGTGCATTTGTGCGTGCGTGCGTGCGCGCATTCGTGCGCTCGCGCGCGCGCGCGCGTGTTTGTGTGTGTCTGTCTGTTTGCAAAAAGAGTACCTCTTAATTAGCAGTTGTTATGTGAAAAGTCTTTCTAATTCGGTGAGATAACGTTAGGGTAAGTTGGTGGCCACGGCGTAGGCAACTCCAAGCACAGGGTTGGCTCGCTCGTTAAAGCATTTTCGGCCGTCTTGCGTTAGACTGTCGGCTAGTATGAACGTATCAGCAGAGCCACCCTCCTCACTACTCCCATAAAATCCTAGTTCACCGGCTTTCGCACACACCACCTTCGGTTGCTGCAGCTTATCGACAAACAGACACCTGAAATAATTGTTATGTAATTCATTACGTATTTATATTTAATAATAATAATAATAGTAAGACAGTATCAGAAAGTGTATGCATTAGATAATAGACAATCGGAAATAGTTGTTCTTATTATTAATAATATCTTTATAATTATTATTATTATTATTATTATTATTATTATTATTATTATTATTAAATTTATTATTATTATTATTATTAAATTTATTATTATTATTATCATCATCATCATTATGGTTGTCGTTGCTCATTCAATAACATCTACACCGATGACACAAACTGCCCTATACAGTGCAGCAACAGTAGTATCAGAAACTAATACAGGTTTATACGCACCGACAATAGTCGTCCCGTCCATCCCCATCCATGTCTCGCATGAACCATGTATCATGAAACCCGAGCCGCATATCAGAATTGGCGATGTAATTATGTTCACTCTGTCCTTCCGTGCCTGCTAATGCACACGACAGCACTCGCTCTCCATCGAGGTGTATAACTCTAAAACAACACATCGAACACGCCAGTATTAACACAAAACACGCATTGTTAATACACGTATAATATTCATTGTGTGCGTGTGCGTGCGTGCGCGCGCGTGCGTGTGCGTGTGTGTGTGGGGTGGGGGCGGGGTATGTGTTGTGTGTGTGGGTGTGTGTGTGGGTGTGTGGGTGTGTGGGTGTGTGGGTGTGTGGGTGTGTGGGTGTGTGGGTGTGTGTGTGTGTGTGTGTGTGTGTGTGTGTGTGTGTGTGTGTGTGTGTGTGTGCGCGTGTGGTGTGTGTGTGGTCGTGGTGGTTGGTGTTGTAGGTGTGTTGTGTGGTGTG